CGCACACGTTTGTTAAATTATGGCAACGCAACACTTGGGCGATCTGCCTAGGGGGATGCCTTCCGGGAGGTCTTTTTTAAGGGAAACTGTCCCCTATTTAGGCGTTACAGACGTGGAGAAAAATCGGAAAACTTTACGTGGCCGGCCCGTCCGAGCGAGGCGCAAACCCACTACCGAATTCCTAGTGTTCTGGGTACGAAGACCGCTCGGCCGCTGGTGGGTACTCGAGACCGCACACAACTCGCGTACGTTTTATCTTAAGTCGATCCACGTCACACGTTTTGCTCGTGGCCTTCACCGAGTTACGAAAGATACGCGACGTTCGTTTCCTAAGGTAAACCATTTAATTTCGAAGCCTAAGAAAGTACAATGGAACCTCCGAAGTTGGACATTTTTTGATGGACGCTAATTATTACCTACGTACGTAAGTCGTATACCTCTCTAGCGTGAATCTTGGACAGTTGTTAATGTTTTAAAATTCATAATAATTATAAAATATATTTAAAAAATACATCCCAGTTTACATCATTTTAGTAATGGCATATATCTCGGCTTATTTTTACTTTATTTTCCCAACTATCAAGAAATTGAAGTTTATTACCTATGACAGAAACTCTACAAGTACTAATAAATGCCCAAGAATCGCCAACCCTGCTCAGACCGGTAGAAAAGCCGAGGAAAAATTAATGCCTGTGCTTGAAAAATAATAAAAAACGACATTTGATCTTTTATTTAAGAACTGAACACGCGAAGCAACTTTTGGTTTATCACCGATTTAGCAGAACAATTGGGAGCATATTAGCGCGCAAGTTTTAGTGTTTAAGTGCATATAAAGCCGCGCACTAATAATAACAACGGAGTAAGTAATAATTAAATGAAATGAGCTTCATCCGTTCACAAAATGCTCCGGAATAGTTTTTGTCCGTTTAATACGGGTCGACTCCCTTCTGAACTAGGAAAGGAGATGCCATTGAGGAAACAGCGAAATTACAATAACGTGTCTAAGTGAGGACTAATGATCAAATATTTGATAAACAGTAAGAGGGGATTTAGTATTTTCCCTAAATTTTAAATAGAAATGCCCCATCTATATACGGAAAAATCCAACCAGAAAACATCAAAGACGAAAAACGTACGATTCGAGGGCCAGGAGGAAATTGCCCTCGAAGATTTGCTCCGTTGTTTCTTTTTTATTGATACTTCTTTGTATTTTTTCGAACAAAATTTTACCAGGCAATGGTATTTTTGTACCGGGTAAATTGATTTTAATAGTTGCTACTACAGTCAGCGGGCCACGAGATAAACAACGATGCCGCGACTATAGGGGGTCACAAAAGATTTACGTAAACACTACACTATTTTGATACGGTAGCTGGAGTTTACGCTTAATTTTATTCGTTCTTTCTAAGCTAAATGAAAATAGTATATAAGTCAGTGGTTTTCGACCGGGGTGCAACGATACTTCGGGGATGTCGGGAAATATAGGGCCGAGCAGCGCCGTAACACTTCTTAAGTATATTACTGAAGTACGAAAACGCAATAATTACATTGATAATGAAGTTGGGGTATTGCAGAAAAAAATATATTACCAATCGGCTGCCTCTATTAGAAAAAGGGAGGAATAAAAAACACGGGTGTAAGTAAAAACAAACCTGATTTTAATTGATCCAAATCGTATTGGTTCCGCCTGTCAGAAAACCCCACTCTTGTTCCGATTAAATCCTTTTATAACGACGAAGACCGCAGAAGTGTTCCAAATTTAAACATTAAAATCCTTAATCTTCTATCGATTGATCGAACCTGTAAGGAGAAAAACATATTTCATAAATTGAATGTAGAAAACCGGAAATGTTAAAGAGGAAAGTTGTTAGCTCCGATTCGAATATAAATTAGAAATTACAATACGCTTTTAAACATTTGCTTTTCGCGAAGTTCGACTGTAAGAAAAACTGTACGCGGAATATCTAAATATTTTCGTGATCATTAACAGATAACGAAAATAGGTTACACAGAAACCTACTCTATCGCATTTGTTATCGCTAGCGATGTTTATAATAAATAGGCTTTTTTTTTTAAATAAAAGCAACTAAAAAAAACTCCTTTCAATGGTGCATATTTGATTAACCCGATTTACTTCGTATTTATCGTCTCGGCAAATAATCTTTTATTTTTTATGTCAGTTTTAATCGACAGCATTAATCTCGTTTAATCGAGCGCATGTAGAGGAAAAAAAACTTTAATAATCGATGATTTTGAACGCGATGATATCATTAAGATACCTAATATTATAAATTGTAAAGAAATTATTTATTCGGTGGTTTGTTGTTTGATTCTGCGAATGCGAAAATTTAAAATTGATCTTTCTCGCGGTTAACTACTGAACTGTAAATGCGGTCTAATTGCTCGCGTGTATTGATTGGTTTATTTTTGAAGCGTGTTTTGATCTAGAAACCTCCATTTATGTATGACACAATCCCGAATTTCCCCAAAGAAAAATCAAATCGGTTATAATAAGATATGTATTATTTAAATCTTTCTGTTTTCTGTCTACCAAAGGTAATTTCCATTATTGTATTACAGTCGACCCCCCCTAAAACATTCAGTTTTATATGAATTCCATGTTGTACGAGTCACTTAGATTTTACAAATACGTGTGCCGGCCGTGAACGGCTTACGTATTTGTAAAATCTAAGTGACTCGTACAACGTGGAATTCATATAAAACTGAATTATCAACAGTGTTATAGGGGGGGTCGACTGTATTATTATTTTTTTAATGTTTGCATCATTTTATTGCTTTAACTTAAACTGTAAATGTATTTTTATTTGTTAAAATATAATTATTGATATTCTTTCGTATTGATTCGGATTAGTATTTATAGTTTATCCTCGGATTAATTCGGTATAAATTCGAATACGGCCTTAATTTTAAGTTTTTATAACGAGTTTGTAAGCACAGAAATTACTCGTAAAGTACCGACTTAAATATACTTAAAAGTAGACCCGATATGAAAAGAATTAGAAGAATTACTGAATGTATATATATATACATATATATATATATATATATATATATATAGAAGACCTACATCTTTTTAATATTAACTCCAATGATTGATTGTGTTCTCTTATTAAATGTATAGATCTAACTATGACAGTTATACGACGAGTTAAGTCGAACACCATTCTATAAACAAGACTGTGCCATTTAGATTCGGTTTCCGAGACAAAACCATCAAACGAAGTCATTATAGACACTAAAATTTTGCTATTTTCACGCAGATAATATAATAAATCTACTAGAAATTCTGGCGCCATTACACTTACTTTAGAAACACCAAAACTAAATTGTAAGACTAGTAACGGGGCAGAAAACTTTAAACAATTGTAAATGACACAAGTAACGGAATAAAATTACGATCGAGGTTATTAACAGACGTAAATCTAAGTAAATTTGGAAATTATAAGAGAAGATTACTATAGAACAAAAGGTAAAATTATTTTTATCTTTTTTTCTGTTTCTTTTTTAGTCGTTCGTGGGATGTGAATGAACCGGAGGTCAAGCGCATTTTATTGATTCGTATCGGACGGAGATGACCAACTATCGCTATTAACCTTTTATTTCTTAAAAATATTCGGCATTTTCTCTTATTTATCGAGTAAATAAACTGTAATTTATAAAAATAAAAATGATAAATAAGCATTAATTTATTCTAATTTGTGTTATTTTATAATTTGCGCGCAAAATGAAAACATTTGCGAGGAAAAAAAGTTAGCGCGTGATTTTAGAGGGAGGAGGAAAAGAAAAGCCTTGTGGGGCGAGTGAAAATTAATTTAGTTTCGGAACCGGGAGACTATTTCAAACGTAATTAACGGTTTCGAACGAATAGTTTTAATGATCGGATCACCGACTGACAGCCTCTACTATTTGTTCGAGCGTAATTCACTCGTTATGGCTCAGAAGCACTCGACAACAGCCTCGTTGCAACTGGTAAGAGCCTCGATCAAACTGTTTTACCTCTTTATAATTAAATTTTGGAGTGTTTAGCGGTTAAATATAATAGCCTTAACCGTATTTAATCGTTACAAAGAACTCTATTTTTATAAATTTAAATTATTATAATACGAACTTATAACTCGATCTCTTGTCTGTAAATTCCAAATGTTCTAATTATAAATTTATTGTTCTAGTGCGTTCGAAAATTCAATTTATAAATCCGTTGGAAATATAAATAAGAAAAACATTTGAATAATCGATAAGTAAATAAAGGAGGGTTTAAGATTAATAAAAATTTAATTAATATCGACGTTATTAAGTAGCTAAATTACATTTAAACGGTAAGTTAATCCGATTTTATTGTTTAACTAACTTAAAATACCCTAAAGATACGATTTAATTTAACAGTTGTATTAAAATTTAACACGCTTAATTACAAGTCGACCCTCCTATAACACTGTTGATTTTTCCGTTTTATATGAATTCCGTGTTGTACGAGTCACTTAGATTTTACAAATACGTGAGCCATTCACAGCCCGGCACACGTATTTGTAAAATCTAAGTGACTCGTACAACATGGAATTCATATAAAACGGAAAAATCAAGTGTTATAGAGGGGTCGACTGTACGTATAATGTAAGGTTTTATTATATTAGTCCGTAAAATTCAATCAAATGTAATTAGAATATCGAAGAGACATTTAAGTGTTCTGTTGGCATTTCTTTAAAAAGTAATATTCTATATAAAACAATTTTAAAAAAAAGTTATATAGAAATATTCCCGATAAGATACAAAATATTTATAAATTCTTACCCAAAGAGTGTGTTTTTTATTTAAAATTAAAAACAAAGAAAACGTGGATGATAAGAGAGGAGAATGGCGTAAATATAGGCTAAACGAATACATCTGTGATCTAAAATTCAGCATGAAATTGGTGACAAAAAAGAAAATAATACATATGTTTATAGTTGTTGCTATAGCAGCGTAATCGAGAGGTACCGTTTTGAAAATGTCGCTAAAGTTATATATTCCGATTAAGAATTGAAGTAAATATTTAATTACCATGGATACGAATCGTAATTTTTAAATTAAAAAACAGATTATAAAGTAACGAGAGAACTTACATGGATACCGAAGGCCAATGGTCCGCTTATAGAATACCCGGGTATGTTTTTTCTTTTATTTTAATGCTTTACAAAATCGATCGTTTTATTTAAAAAAAAAAATGCCTACGAGGTCTTCATTACTCGCCTCTTTTAATATATTAATAGTTATGCGGGTTTTGTTCCCGGTAAGAAGGATATTTATGGAAAGTCCTATGGGAAGGTGCCAGTCTTCAAAGATGCCAAAGTAAGTTTCGTTATTACTACTCGATACTTTAGCTTCTTTACTTTTATTTTACGTTTTATTCTGCCTTATTTTCTTTTATAAACAATGGCGTGACAGATTTTTTTTTTTAAATTTATCGTATAAATCCGATTTTTGTGTGTCGTTTCGTCCGATTAAAGGTCAACTGGTAGCAAACTATTTTATTGTATTTGATTATTGAAATGAATTATAAAATCAAGGCCGACTTTATTATAAGCTACCGTACACGAAACCAATAAATAGTGAATTTAAATGCGATTTTTTCGGTATTCTTGCCGTACACTAGGCACTGTACTCGAATAATATACGCTAATGATTCGCAAACTAGTTATATATAGTTTATTTTCAACGTTCTTCGAATATCGGACGAGGGAAAATAAAATTACGTTGCCAAAAATTAGGGCCTCGGAGACTTTAGGACACCGTGGGCCTGGCATTGCCTCTTCGCTTCGCTAAACTGTACGCTTTTCGACCGTCGCTTGTGCAATTCCTGTTCGGTTTCGTATTTATTTCTCTATTTAGATAAACAATAAGTTCGAGAAATTTAGTGACAAAACAATAATAAAGTTAAGAGTAATTTATACGCTAAAACCATTACGTATTCTGATTGTCGTATTTTGTACGTATCTAAGGAAAAAAGAAACGAAACGAGAGAAATTACATCGGACGAATACAATACGAAAAACACGTGGCAAGTTTTGTTACCTCCCGTTAGAGTTATACCTGGTTATACCGGTAAGAATACGAAAGATTAGATTTTACATATTATATATAGTATCTTGGCGAATTAAAATTAAAAATAAGACATTGTTTCTTATTTTTTAGGACATCTTCCGGGGAAAAGTTACGTATTTGGTAAAACATTTACCCAACAAGTAGACGAGTGTTTCAATATTTTAGCTACTGCAAAAAAAGTAACCGATGAAAAACGAAGAAATTTCTCAGAAATGTCCGAAATGAATAATTCCAAAAGTCTGGATAAACGAAGACCTACAAATCAAATAATTCGGCCGGAACATCCCCATTTAAGTAGAACGACTGGAACTCCTTTAACGAAAGAGAAATCCCCCGAATTCCAACATCGATCTTTGCAAAAGAACGGAGATTCGGCCTATGGCCAAAACAATTCTTCGAGATTATCAAACAATTACAACAGAGAATCGAGGACGGAACTTTTAAATTCCTCAAAAATTGATAACAATTTAAATGACAATAAAACGTTTGAGGATAAAGAGAAACTACGAAGAGAAACAACGGATAATGGGATACACGAACCTCGCTCGATGGAAAGAAATTACGAATATTACAGTAAAAATAACGTTTCGCCCGAAGTTAAGACAGAAACAGCGTATTCTAGAAATTACACTAGAGAAAAACAATACCAGAAAGTATACGAACATAAAATGCGGGCTAATTCGATAAAAAATGGCGAAAATTATTATCCGTATAAAGATTCGCCTTGTAACGGTGTCGAAAATCGAAGATGCAGCTGTTGTCGATCGTATAAGAATGCGTTTGTTGAGAATAACGAAGAAAAAACAGAACAGAAATGTAATAAATACGGAAACGACGAATCTAAACTGAGCCCGTCTCAGAATTATTATAACAATAATTCATCAAATAACAGCAGATATAATTTTGAAAGAAATTTTACAGAAACAGCCCCGTCGTAAGTAACTAATTCTTTATTACACAACCTAAATTTTGATATTTTTCAAATACCGTTTAAAATTACAATAAAATCTAAATACCTTTTATAGAGGAAATAATGGAAGTAGACTCCCTATTGTGGGACACGCTAATAATGTAGTTTATACCTTAAAACGTTCCTTTTAGAATGACCTTTGCATCGCGATTCAATTAACTCGAGTCCAGTCGTATTGTTGTTTTTCCACAAATGGAACAATACAATTCCGTTATTATTAATACAAAAGATGACACTAGCGTAGTATATCTTAATCGTTTTGTCATTACCTTGATTTAACGACATTTCTCATTATAAAAGTATTAGAATGACGTCAAATCGATCTAATACTAGATAGATACTGCCTAATTTACATTCGCTTTACGACCCCCGTTTTTACCACCGAAATTTTCTATAAAATGGCCAATTTGTTAGTCTATCTCGAGATATTACAAAGTTTAAACTACATATCTAGAAATTGTAATCGCAATTTTCGGCAGTGAAGTTACCGACACCCTTCTTTGCACTAAATACAAGTTAAATAATTACTCATATCTGGTACGAGAGATAATTTTTATAGAGGTCTTAACTTCACTACATGTAAGTAATAATGTTAAAAAGTTCTTTGCGTCACGTCCTAGTAACGGAGGAAATGGCACAATACTAATCGGAAGTAACGTCTCGTATTTTACTACGTGCAATCGGAAAAGGTTAAATGATCGGTTAAAATAAATAATTAAATAAACACGCAAAATACGGTATAAATTCCGACTTTTACGCTTTTAAATGCCTTTAAGCTCTCCAAATCTTGTGACTCGCCGATACATCCATCCTCGACGAATGCCCCCACGTAGCACACTCGTAAACCCGGAGATCGAGTTGTCTCGCATGTCCATGTGTAGAATGTTAGGTTCGAGAAATAACGAACTTCGCTGCCGTGACGCGACGAAACGTCATGTTTTTTTCCAAAACACACACACACTACGTTTTTGTTTTATTCAAGTAATTGTTTCGTGCACGTGCCTTTCCCTATTCTTTATCCAATTGTTTTCATAGTAAATCAATGTAAAATCTGAAGCGTGATTTTTTTTATAAAGAAATTCAATTTTAATAATTGTTCAAAAAATCATTTCAGAAATGGAGAAGCGAACCATCGTAGAGTGGACAACAAATCAAAACACAACGTGGAGTTTTCCCCTTCTGTAAAAGAAAATGAAAACAATGGATCGGTTAACGAAGAGAGTTTACACTTTGAAAACCCAGAAACGAATTGGGCAAACGTGGAACGTGAAACCATGCTAAAATCCTCGTCGGACGTTGGGAACATTGGAGAAGAATTGCCACCGACAGAAGCCAACGGATACGATCATAGGTATTACCACGGTCCTACAGAAAGGGGTAGAGAAGTTTACGAAAATTCAAATCGTAATCATTACTGGCAAAATAATAGAAATCGGAAACAGAATTTCAACGAGAAAAACTTTGGTAGAAAGGAAGACAACGCAAATCGCGGCACAAGATATTTTAATACGTCATTGTATCCCCCGATATCCGGATATCGCGGTTATATTCCTCGTCTGAATTCTTCTTCGGCTCTGGGGATACCGTTCGGTATTCACATCGACCGCAATGTTAGAAATTAAATTCGGACCGTACGGATCCAAAATTTCATTATTTATTAGTTTCGGGTGGGGGGAATTCTCATTTGCGACCGTGAAATGGGGGGCAAATTTACTTCGATGGTCAACGGGTACGCGTAAAATGTGCTCTGCTCGTGCATTATTTTGTGCACGTTTCAGATCAGACGCACTCTAATCGATACGCCATTTGTCATTTGGTGATATATTTTACATGGAAAAATACTTCATCAAATAATTACTCGAGAGATCGATGGGTATTCGGTGCCGGTCACGGATACACGGGGACGGTATTTTGTGAAAGGTGCCACACGCTCGAAATTTACAAAATCGACTATCTTAATTTATTTTAAATACATTTTCTAATGTAAACGAACCCGTTTTATTCGAATAAAATTCTACCAAATTGAAACGTGTCGGATCTTTCTCGAGAAACCTTTCGCAGAAATCTCATTGATTGCGGGAAAAGCACAAAATCATCGTGTCGAACTTACCACACGGGAGCAAACGCGAAGAGAATAGACTTTGTACAAAAATACGAGATAAAAAATAAAGGGGTGGATGTGCATTTCCGGCTATTTGACCCTCTTCGTCCTTTATGTTACATTCGCAGAAAGTTCGACACGATAATTTTGTGCTTTTTACCCAAAGAACATAGAAAGAACAAGTAGTAATCGAGTATTTCGTTGATTGTTTATTCGTAAAGAGCAGAAAAGAAGACACTATCCTGCAAAATGTACTGTACAGTCCTTCCAACAATAATAGGGCATACAGATTTTGCCTAGAAACTATTATTTTCGTTTAACTTATATCAACAATTATTGCACAAGTTTGGAGAAAAATGATGAATAAACAAAAGAGTTAGATCTTATTATGCAAAATAGGATGTCCAACATTAATAGAGCATGTATCGATTACAATTAATTACAAAGAAAGTAATGATCGGAATCCATAAAATTTGCATAAAAATACTATCAACGAGTGGAAAGAAAGATTTAGTAAACTGCATAGTACCTTACTATTAAAAAATGGGACGTGGGAAGGACCTAACTGAAGAGGAGAAGATCAAAATTGATGTATTTCACCAGGAAGGGAGAAAAGTAATTTGGTAAGATCTTATTCAACAATCTCAAAGTATCTCAATAATAAGGAGCGACGAACGGGAAAACGAAACGGTGGGAGCAAGAGTTCAACAGCACCCAGAGAACGACGTGCGCTGCAAGAAAACACATCCGTTCAAAAAATCAAAGAATGAATACAGTAGAAGCTGAGCTGCAGTAAATCAACAGAGACAATGTTCTGAGATCGAGAGACGGTGTTTCTTTCATCAAAATAAAGACAGGCAACCAGCTCGAGGAGAACCACAAATGACTTCGATTACAGTTTGCCAGAAACAACTTTGAAAGAGGGGAAGGATGGCGAAAAGTAATTTTCTCGGTCGAGAAAAAGTGAAATCTCGACGGACCTGATGGTTTTAAGCGTTATCGGGCAGACAAAAGACTAGATCAAAAGCAGTACTCAAAGAGTAGCGGATGGTGGTACACTCGCGACATTGGGCGAAAATTGGATGGAAGGGAAAGACATATCTAGTATTTATCGAAGGTCGAAACAACTCTCAAACTTATCGGGAGCTTATCTAGAGGCATCTCCAAACTTATGGACGGGACTTTGAATTTATTTAGGATAATGCGAGCTTCCGTATATCAAAATTCAACGTTATCCTTTATTCGGAGCGAGAACATCTAACTTTTAGACTAGCCATACCTCGGCGCAGTTTCAAATTCAATTGAAAATCTTTGGGGGGAACTTGGTTTTCCAAACGTATAGCAGTGGAAAGCAATACAAGGCCGTTATTGAACTAAAGGCTGCTCTCGTTGAGGCATAGGAAAATATTCCACTGCAATCTTTGATTTAACTCTACAAATGTAAATATATTTTTAATCGAATGCGTATTACATCACACCCAATCTTAGTAAACTGTTAAGATTTATGCCGAGAAATAGTAAACTTTCGGAGGCCGAAGTTCGAAATATATACGAATTACCAGGTGCCGGGAAGTTTCGGAGAAATGGCTACAATAATTAATCGTTGTAAAACTGTATAATGGAGAAAAGTGGAGGAGAGAAGAAAATTAACCGACAGAGATAAACGAAAGGTTTTCTTCCTTATAAAGCTGCTAATTTACCAAAACCTGTGTCGTTGTCGATGACAAAATGGATTCTTCAAAATATTACGTGTTCTAAAATGGCGGCTCTTCGATTAGATTAACTATATTTTTAGTAGACGTTTCCTTTTTTCTTTTATTTTGTTCAAGAACTACCGCGAATCAATAACTAGTGACGTTAAAACACTCGGCGGCTCACTTCCGGGAGGAAACAGTCGGAAGCGCCGCCATTTTAGTTACCTAGGTACACATTAACCTAATAGTTTATGGTCAAAACAAGCATTATCATCAACTAAACTAGTTAAAATTAGCAATTAAGGAGCTGGATAAACTATTTAAGTGAAAATTTCAAAAGCGTAATACAAATCGAAGTCGAGTAACTAAAACTAAATTGTTGTCCTCGTAATTATTACAAGATGGAAAACGAAATCCAACTACTGTAAAGTTCAGTTTATACTTATTATTTTAAGCTCGCGTACCTTTGTAAAAGTTCCGTCTTTGTCCCCTAATTCGCTTAATTTCTTTCGTAATTCGGCGACTGTTACCTTCTTCGAGTCCACGCTTTTAAAAGTATGCAAATTAAAACTTCCCACTGTTTACTCACTACCGGAAGTTAAGTCTACGTCGAGCCCACACTAGCGCCGTAAGTGACGATATTTAAACCGCGCATGCCCCGATTATTATTATTTTTTTAAACTGTAGCCCAAAAACTTGCAGCAACGAGTTGCTTAACTTTCCCGGCAACGTTTAAAACTGCGTGTGGCGCCATCTGTTAAAAAGTTTTAACGAATGGAACGCTTTAAATAATCGTAAAATATATCTTAGAGTTGGCTTAAAAATCAACTATAATGTTATTTGATTTGAAAGAAGTTCATGTATATAAGTTATTTTTAAAATAAACTTAAAAAAAAACAGGAATTTTGTAGCAACACTGGGAAGAATTACTACTTGTCCCTACATATGAAAGATGCTACTTTTGTATTTGGAAAGGCCACCGGTAGCCGAGTGGATAAGACCACCAAAACCTGTCGATTGGTAGAAGTTTACACCCAAAAAATGGGCTAGTGTAGAGTTTTCTTTGCACGTGTGACATCTAAACTTAGGAACCCGCCAGTGGCCGAGCGGTCTTCGTATCCCGAACGCCGGGAGTTCGGTCGCGGGTTTGCAACTCGCTTGGACGGGCTGGCCGTGTGGAGTTTTCCAGGTCTTCTCCGCATCTGCAACGCCTAAATAGGGGCCAGTTTCCCTAAAAAAGACCTCCCAGAAGGATCCCCCTAGGCAGATAGCCCTAGTGTTGCCGTAACTTAACAAACGACAACAACAAACAAACTTAGGCGGGTTTCCCGTAGAAGTCCTCCCGGGAAGCACTTTGGCAGTTCGCTGGTGTGGTGTTGCTTTATCCAAATTACTTGAGAAGCAAAAGTTTCAACCAACTCTATTACAGAAAGAAGTCATGTCGAAGAACACCGACTGTTTTGTTGATGGAAAAGTTTCAAGCCCACAGACCTGTTACTGTAAACAAATGTAAATATAAAACAACATGTTTACTTTTTTATTTTATGATTCTACAGAAACAATACAGCTGCACAAAATATGTTTCCATTGACAATATATATGTTGTTTTAAACTTTTTAACCTTTTAATAATTAGCAGAAACCATAGTCAACTAAGGCATCATCAAGATTTTAACTTGTCCATGTTAGGCATTTGGTCAGATGGACAGGGAGGCTCTTGGTGCAATAATTAGAATATTATATTTTCTTTTAACAATATTTTACCAAACTCTACGAAACGAATATTTGATCTCGTGAAAAGGCACAATCATTGGAAGTTCTCATCACGTATTTTGTTGCCGTATTATATTTAATACTATAAAAGAGTTTGATTCTCTAAAAATGCAGTTTAACAATTGTGCTTCCAAGTATAATACAAGCTTTGATTTTATATATTTTATCATTTATCGATCAAAGTAGATCAATTAAAAAATAATTTAACAAAAATTGTTTAATAGTATTAATGATTTAAAAATGTCATGATGATGATGATATAGATGTAATAACGATGATTTCCCAACTCAAATAGATGGTGTTTGGAGTAAAATCGAAAACTTCCATTTGAATGCGAGTTTTCCAACTTTCGGAAAGGAAATTAAATAAATAAAAACTTATTCGGTGTCGGTCTTATGCCTCCCTAACCAACCAATCAATGAATATATCATCACATAAACATTAACACATACAATACTGATGTTAATACATATATGGTATATAGTTTTTACATTCAAGATCCACTATGATCGTCTATCCTAAATAGATTTAATTCAGTCTCGAATCTTTCTCGGTAATCTCATTGAACGACAGATAATTAAAACAGCACCGTTTAAAAATGCTTAAATCATCGAGCCAAAGATCTCGAATACCTCAATAAAAAGTACGACGGAAAGTGTCTTTAACGTAAGTTAAGCGTACGATCACAAAGATTCTCGGGCATATTGCAACCTCGTTTAAATAACAATTAAACTTAATTATTAGGAATGTGTAATACATTGGAATACGTCTCTTATTCTTATTCTTAACATTGAGCTAGAATTAATTATGTTTGAGCTATATTTTATGTAAGGAAGCTATATTACAAAGAATGTAAGCGCTTCCTAAAATCTAATCGACATCCGATTACGTCGATATAACAAAAATTAGTATAAGAAACTATACAATTATTCAACAATGCAATAGATAAAAATATCATTCGAGTAATATAGAAATAATCTGAAACAACAAACGACCAATAGCAACGTGTCCAACAAGTTACTTTACTTTGGTCCTCGGTCAATTATCAACTCGCAGGCTATCTGCGTTTTCAATAATTATTGCAGTCTATAGATATGTTGACACACTATAACAATACATTTGATAATGAACAGCTAAAGAATATATTTTAGATAGATTTGTTTTTTTTTCCATTAAACTGACGAAAATTTGTCAGAATTACCACAGTATAGCAATCAAAAAGAAGAGAAAAAATATATATATATTCAAAAACCATTAAATAAGTGATAAAATTTTTGTATGAAACCAATGAATAATGTGATGATAAACCCAAAAATGCTGAAATTCTGAAAATAAATTGTTTGAAAAAAAATGTCCTTGGATTTGGACGAGATTCAACAACAACTTTTTAGAGGCTTTTATAATAGTTCTTCAGAGATCTTCGGGTTTCTCTGCAGGAATCACTACCATAATTTTCTGTAGAAACTGCGTAGTTGCTCCTGAAAAATGAAAATAATTATATAGATTTCCAATAAATTTAATAAGAAAAATTGAGAATTTCATTTTAAAATTTAAAAAAAAAAAAAATGTTTCATATTTGTTAATACAGGGAGGGCCAAAAGTTGATTAACCATTATTATATATATTAAAAAACTTAACATTAAAACTAGCTTGAACTAGTTAAGCATTATAGAGATTTTCCAATAAATTTTTCTATATTTACTTCTTTAATTTAAATCATAATGTAGAACCTCACTAAGTTGAACACCTGGGATGAAGATCCAAGATGTCCAAGTTAGAGAGGTGAGCATTCCTGCAGACATGTACAGTAGTACCTACCTACAAGAATACCACATTTACTGCACCTATGTTTTGCTAAATATAATGCAAAAAGCATCAGTTTTAATATTATCACAAAATTTAATGAATGCAAATGCATGTTAACATAATACTAAAGGAAAAGTACGCTAGCATGAAAAATAGGAAATTGTTAATGCCGACTTGTAAGATATGAGTTGTAATGTCTTGTCTACACGTACATAATACTAATTATGTCTTTCCATAGAAACATACCAGTATGCTACAATTGAGTACATTATTTAAAAGCAAATCAACATCTGGAAAAACAATCTGCCTTGATTATACAACTGATGGAGAGGTACTTAAACATATTCGGTCTGTATTCGGATATATCGGTCTGGACTTCTGAGAATACTCTCTGAATCATCACCACAACACTTGTGAACTTCTAATGCATCATTAAAATTTGGAAATCTGATATATTGACGATTAAGTGATTTTGTATTGTAATAGCTTGTATAGCTTCTGTGATACAACTTTCTGTGCGCAAACAACTACATGGATGCCATGATCTTATTCTTGAATCCTTTTCCTCCAAATCTCCCTTTGCAATAACAATTGCCATATAGTGCCATCTAATGGCCAAGTGAGAATTCTTTAATCTGTCATTAGATGCCATTTAGTGTCCAACTTGGAATCACCACCAAGTGTCCAACATAGATAGGTGCAAAGATATGGCAGGACCAGCAAGGTAAGAATGCATTATAATGCCTATACTTTTAACTGATACAAGGGAAAAGTTCCAAAGTTAGAGAGGTGCCCAACTTTTGAGGTTTTACTATATATATATTTTTAATTTCTGTTTTTTGAGCACTAAAGACGGCCTTTTTAATCATACTCATTGCGGGTTTGGCCAGGCCGCAATGGAGATGGCTGGGTGGCGAGGGATAAGGCCCTAAATATCCCAGACTGTCCACGAAATATTTCCGAGGTTACTCGTCTAGATTCGATACTGGGTCTCCCTGAGCAATAGGCCGATGCATTAAGTGCCTCAACCATCTTGTTGTCCATACATTGATTTATAGAATAGTACTGTCATTTTTGCATTAATAATGTTGACGCACTTATAAATAATAATAGCAGCAACAACAATAACATCGAATAACAAATTTAAGGGTGAAAGTATTTTGAAAAAAAAAGGCATTTTTTAAACATTATAAAACAATTTTAAAAATTTTAAATTTCTGAAGCAGTTCCTACTTCAACAAGACACAATCATTATTGCATTTTTAAATTAATGAGATTTGCATATTTTCTTGAAATCAGATGTATTGCATGCTTATATAAATGCAATCTAGACACATTCCTTGGTAATAAGGGCATCTGAACAGTGCAAATGTGACACGTCCACCTCTGGAATGAAGTAAAAAATCCCACAAATTATAATCTTAAAAGTGATTGTAATTTTTAATCTAGAAAAAGTTAAGTGTTGCCTGAAGATTTGCATTCATGTCTGTAACCATTATAAAACATAATATATTATACATTTACATGATTGTTAAGATATGTTGTATCAGTAAATTGTTCAATTACAGTATAAGAAAAATTTATTCATTCATTTGCTACCAAGAAATACAACAACAAAAACTGTTAAGAAGTAGAAACAAATACAGAGCTTAAATAGATAATATGGGTTATATATTTATTTTTGTCTTTTTTGTAAATTAAACAGTTATTTGCATTTCTGTTTTTAGAGTTCTTTAGATAAAATTCTCTCCTTTAGATTAATATAATTGTGTTTATTATGTGTTAGGTGAATTAGAAAAAAAGGTAAATAGTTAAATTTATTGATCTTGATGAAAATGCCCTTGATAAAACACAACTTAAAGAGGAAGCTGATGTGTCAGACCGAACAGGTCATTTGAATTCACTGATTGATTACGGACGATCTGTAAAGCGATTAAAAAAATAATACAAGTGACATGCAAATTTGTTTGAGATCATGGGTAAATGGAACAGTGTGAGAAATACACAGACTAACACTGGTATCTATGTCTACGAAGTGGCCAGTCCTCCCGGAACCTATACTGGTGCTTTTGGGTATTTCCTGACTTCCTGATGGCCCCCATCCACCACTTTGAGACAATACCATTGTCTCTATACTAAAAATCTAGCTGTTCTCGGAATGTAATTAGTTTCTCGGGATGTTGGTTAAATGTCAAGTATGGTTTATTACTGATAATTTTTCAAGAAAGTCAAGAACAGTTATTATATTTTATTATAATGAATCTGGAAAATAAGAACAAAAACATCAATGAAAATTTTATTACATTTTTTATGAAATTATGTTTTATTATATAGTTTCATAAAAAATGTAATAAAATTTTCATTGATGTTTTTGTTCTTATTTGCCAGATCCATTAATTGTTTCATTTCTCAAAAACATCCTAATTATGGACTATAAATATTTAACAACTGTATTGCATGGTTTAAAAAGAAATAAACAAGAAATAGCAAAATAGACTTAAAAATTTTTTAATAATGCTCTGTGGACACATATCCACAGTGGGTTTGGATAGGTTCGCAGTAGGATGATCAGACGACAAGGGACAGGGTGTGATATATCCAGGATGAACTGCCCACAAAAAAATTCCTGGGGGGTTTTCGACTGGTCGAATTTGACCCCAGGTCCCCCAGAGTATTAAGCTCACAACTTCACCACTTTGGCCATCTAAGCATAATTTTTAGGCTATGAAAAATTACATTTTTTTAACAATAAAACAGAAACAATGTAAAAAAAAAACAACCTAAACAAAGACAAATGGAGAATTCCTTATAAATAACATTAAATACAAGAAGAATAAATAAAGAAACAATTGTTTTATTGACTGGAAATTAAACAATCAGAAATCATTTTCATGTGAGAGAAAGTCAAACAAATCTTATTGCCCAAGGCATGACATAATATTGATATATACTTGGAGAATACGAAATAGGTTTGACGGTTACGGAATGGTAGTTACTGAATAATTTTTAGCTTGTACAGAAATTTCTAATCTAAAGATTTAAATAAATAATAAATTCATATAAGATTATTTCACTTTACTTACTGATGGCATTCCTAATAGGTTTTGGCTTGTTTTCCCAATATACGAATATAAGATACACAGGCACACCAGTAGCTATAATAATTACTCCAAATCCTAATTGGAAAATTTGTTATTAGTGTCTGTTTCATTACAATTTGACAATAAGATCGAAACTTAATTTACCTGTGCCTACAGGATCGGCAATCATTGGCACCACCGTAATGAATATAGATGCTAAAATGTAGATTATTGGAAATATAAGATTTACCTGAAACATTTAAATTAAAATATTTAAAAAATCATCTTTTTTTTAGATTTAACATTTGGATTCAACTTCACAAAATTTGTCACCTTAATTGGTCTGTGCCAGTTCGGTTGCTTCCATCGGAAGTACGGTAAGGTTACGACGGCTAATCCGATAGCCAACCATGTTGCAAAACCCACGTAGTTAATAAGAGCATAAATATCACTAGAGCATAAGTATATTAACGACAACAGTGCCTGGATGAGAAAAACTAATTATTATAAAATTTGAAATAATAAATACAAGATATTTAAATTGTTAAAAGATATACCATAAAAATCACAGCTGGTGTAGGAGTAAGATGAGATATTTGGATCATAGACAGAATTTCAGGCATTTGGCCCTGCTCGGCACCAGCGTAAAATAATCTGCAAAAATAATTTGTTAATTTAAATAACGATAATAAACTCTCTTAAATGTTCTCAAAGTTTTAATTTACCTAGAAGAAGTGAATAAGATGCCATTTACACCACCAAAGGTCGAAAGTGCTACAAAAACAGGTACAATCCATGCCCATGATCCGTATATACGTTCGGCAAATGTCTTAAAAAAATATCATATTATTAGAATTACGATAAGTTTCAAATAAAGTCTATAAAAATACTGTTTTAAATGACAAGAGAAACCTTTTTATGAAAATTAACCATAGAATAGCATTAAAATTTCTTAGCTATTTGCACTTCACCAATTTTAAATAAAACAAAAAATATTTTCAATATGTACACTATAAATAAATTAGTTCTACTTACAACAGCTACAGCTTCTGCACCCATAACTTCTTGCACACTGAGAATGGAATGGAATGCAACTATAGTCATAGTGTAAACAACTGTTACCAAAACGCAAGAGATAAAGATGGCTCGAGGTAAATTCCTAATGTAGAAAAAAAAAAGAATCATTAATAAAATCTCTAAACAGTGAATTAAAAAAAGAATTTATCATCTTACTTGTGAGGATCTTTTAATTCTTCAATTACAAAGTTCAAATAATTCCTGTAAATTAAAAATATAAATTTATTATTGTGTGTTTAAAATTAATTTTTTCTTATAAACATAGTACATTTTCTAAGCTCTTTCTGCCCCGTGGGCAACAAGAGGGTCTTAACAAGCCCATTATGAGTTCAGCCGAGCCCATAATAGACAGCTGGGTGGTGAGAAATGTGGCTCGACATATCCAGATGGACCACCTTCCAAAAATTTTCAACCAAGCTGGGTTTTATCCCGAGCCCTCTAGAGTGGTAGATTGCCACCCTAATCACATGGCCATACATGTATACATGAAATTCCATACATAATGTATGGAATTTCATGTATACATAATTCAGTCTACAACATACAATTAGGCTACAATGGCAGTTCTTTTTTATTGAACTTTTCAAAAGTAAAACATTAAAATGACATTCAATTTTTCACTGATAAATTTTTTAAAATTTACTATTTATTCAGAGTTTGTTTTTTTCCCTTTCTGATTTAGTGCTTAGGGTGTATGTTCCCTGTCATCACATGTTAGACAATTGATAATATACAAGAATTGCTACATATTTTTTAAAACACACATATTGAAAAGTTCGTGCACACATAGAAAGTGATAATTTAACAAAAACATGTATTATGTGCAGAAAAAAATATTGGACACACATTGAAAAGAATCTCATATGCATACATCTATTCATATTCTATCCAAAATATACTTACTACATATATTAAATGGAAAAAGTTGCATACAAAATGCTTAAATTATTATTTATGGCTTCAGAAAACATTCATTATTACAATTGTCTAAATGGCTAGGAATGGTTCCTATTTTTGTTAGTTATTCTGAAGATTGAGAATTTAATGCTTAAACATATTCAGTTTTAAAAATATTTAGAATCTCGAAGAAGATTATATTGTTTATTGACCTAAATTTCAACATAAAATAATATTTATGTAAGGAAAAAAATAATTACATCATTATGTTTATACAGAATGATAGCACAGTAATCACTATTATAAAATATTTGTGTGGTGTCTATTTTACAAAGTTTTTAATTTCTAATATTATATAATAATGATGTATACAATTTATATATTAGTTTCAATTCTAAATGAAATTTCAAAATACAGACCAGTTTTGAGAAACATTTATTTTAGAATCAGTGTTTATTCTATGCTGTTTCCACTAGGCACTGCAAAGTATCTGTTACAATTGTGGACACAGTTAACTTCAGAAATTTTAATAGCATGTCAGTGAGGGTTGAAGTTTCTAATAAGATTTTTATAGAAACTTCAAACTTATCTCTTAAAGTGTGCAATGAAGATACATCAGGAAGCGTGTGTGCAACCTTCTTTATTCATGGCCGGGTGAGAAAAGATGGTAGAATAATCAGTCCCATCTGTGTTAATTCCCATTCTACAGATACTGTTCAGATAGGGCTAGGTGTGTCTCTGATAGACACAGAATAATGGGCAGAAACCAACTGGCAGAGCTTTCATCTTGACTCTTCTGCTTAATAGTCTAGCAGTGCCAGATCACAAGATTACATAGATACAAAATGTCTGTATTAAAACAATGTAATGTTCAGAAATAAAGATGATGTTTTACTGTGTGTAATTTTTGGAAGTAAAAATTCTCTTATAATTGTTCTGGATGTTTTAACTTAGGAATTTCTTTAAGTAAAATACAAGTAAAACTGTCAATGAAATTGGTAAATTTTAAAATATTGATTTGAGAAATCTCTAATCAATACTTTAAAATTTACTAATCTCATTGAAAGTTTAAGAATTTCTATTATATATGATAGTGATTCAACTTCAGTCCAGAATTTCAATAATGGGGATAGAACTCCAAACACTGACACAGCATTGTTGTCGAAACAAGAAGAATAAAGTCTTTTGGCTGGTGTTGGTGCATGGCTGTGTATGGTGGAGTCAAGCAACAGATTTAGTTGAGAAATTCTGAATCCATCTGACTTACAGTCTAATTTATTATCACCTGTTTTATCTTTTGAGGAAAGCTTTAGAAGACAGGAGATTCACCCAGAATAATAGTATCTCTCTGATTTCAGAGATTTCATCATGCATTTGCTCTGATACCAGCAGACCAAAATGATTGAAGTGTCAGCATGTGGAAAGGGAAACCTAGGAAAAGAAACAAATTGAAACTATGCAACACATACAACTTTCATTACTAAAATCAAGACAGAAGTTGAATTGCACTCATATATTTTAAAATCACAATTTCAAATATGTTCAACATCATTTTAATCTGTTAATTGAACAGTTCCTACACTATTATTATTTTGAAATTTAGTCCAAAAAATTTTTTTATTGAAAATATTGGCCATCTAAACTAAGCAACTATAAAGCTGAGTGATCTAACCATGGTCTAAGCTTCTCTCATGTCAAAATTGAGTTAACAGTATTTTCTTGTAATAAATACACTGTTTCTAAATAGAAAGAGATTACAAGGGTTGGATAAAAAGAAAACAAATCAACAGCAAAGTATGAAATGAAATAGCTCAACTTTTAAAAAATGGATTAAATCACTGTTGCAGTAGCCTTTGAATTGTTTTATTTATTACCATGGAACCAAGTTTTGAGAGAGTGACTCAATCTTTGCTAAACTCAGGTTCCTGTCAAAATACACAATAAGTTAATTAAGAAAATAATGTAAGCATCATTGTGTTGTGGTGGTACACCAGTATATTTTTGTTGTTTTTATTTTATATAAGTATATATAAGAATATTCTATTCCCCTTTCTCTTTGTTCTGTTTCTATACTTTCTGGAACTTTCGTCTGAACGTGGGTGGTCAGTGACCCAATTTCGGGACAAAGGAGTGAAGATAGCCCAGAGGGCAAGTGGGGGACGATAAGGACACTTTTGGCTTCGGACCGGAGGAGGAAAGACCGTCGGAGAGAGCGGTCTCGAGTTGGGTGTTGCTTCGGCCGGAAGGGTTACGAAGAACACTAAAGACAGAAATCGCATTGGAAGAGAAAAAGAACTTTGGAAAAGCCGAGATTTAAGAACGAATTTTGGGTCCTCGCATGTGCTCCGTCCCCATAGAAGAAAAGAATTCCAAGACGAAATTATCTTGTGGCCACCACCTCAGTCAACCATTCGGGTACCCGTTCCTTACTAGGAATTTCCATTTTTATTCTCCCATTCTATTCTAATTCCTGTCCTTCCTTTCCTCTTTTAGTTATAAGTAGTTTTAAGTTAGTGATTAAGTGTCTCCTTTGTTACGCGAAAGAAGAGTTTAGCTCCGCTGTAGATTAAAAGTCGGTGTTGTTTGTTCCCTTTTGTTTAATTAAAGTGAGGAACAAGGAGGTCGGAATCGACGAACCTTTCCTGTATATATGTTCATACAGTAAAATAAAGCACGTCTTATTGTTTTATATTCCTGTCTCTTTGTGAGAATTCATTCATCACCACGTGCTCACCACAGTGTTTTATAGAATTCTGTATGGATTGTGTGACACTCAGAATTTTGTACAACACAAATGAAAAATTTCCAAATTTTATCAATACAAAATAAAAATTAAAAATACACAATTACCTGATTCATTTCTACAAAATTCATGATATAATGATTATATAGAGTGGTCTAAAAGTTAGTTCACCATCGTAAAAACTAAACTGCTGTATTATTCAAAATGAAAACATAGTTAATTAACTTTTGGGGCCATTGTAAATCAAAATCAAAGCTTTCAAGAATAAAGAGCATACGTTAAATAATAAAATTAGTTTCCTGTTAGTTAATTTGAACAATATACTATATTTATGCTCTTAAATTTATAATAATCATCATTGGAATTACTAGAAAGATTTGAATTAGAAAATATAATACAATTTTTGGCCAATTGCAAATAATCTTTAGCAAAGTTATGCACATGGGGAATTTGACCCTTAATATCTGCCAATTTAAAAACCGAAAAATGTTACAAAGTTAATAAGTATTGTATATTGTATAGAACTTATATTTATTTTTTCCAGTTCAGTTTCTCCTTAGGGTTTGTTTGGATATGCTAACCGTTAAGACTGGACAGGATTCGAAAACACACCAATTAAGTTTTTGAAGATGCTTCGGTTGCGCCCAGACTGCTCTGGAAGAATGGTTATTTAATAACCAAGACTGCATTTAATGGACGAAGGTGAGAGACGATTGTAATTTTAAATCAAAAATGCTTTCTGAAAGTGTAAAATTATATATTTCAAAGCAACTTTGAGGAATTTGTTGAAAATATGGAGAGATATCAATTAATTAGTCTTCTCACTAATTTGCTAGGTTAAATCTAAACAAATCTTATGCAAATCTAAACAAATCTTAAATCTTATGCTAAAAAAATGTATCAGTATCTGCTATTACCCATTGACTACTATACTCACTGGCTAATATTTCCAAATACATTCTAGTCTGTATTGTGTTATTCTATACATTTATAGTGTAAAAAATTAATAAAGCTAAGTTATAAAAAATATATAGTTTTCCTTTAAAATCACACAATTTTAAATATTCTATGCACGGGTCTGCTCTTCTTTTACTATACAGTTATTCTGTCATAAATCAAGTAATGGAAAAATTTTCTTCATTTACATTAAATAAGTTTTCAATTGCAAAGTTTAAAAAGATAGATATTTTAATAATCTTCATAACTAATTGTCCAAACTGGCCTCTTCTTACAGCTAAAATTAGATAAACAAAATCAGACTTTGATGCTAAATTTAAGTAATCTATTATTACTCCAAGTTTAAAATCGCATCTGATTATATAATCATTAGAATATTTATTTTTTTCTAGAGAATTTTCTATTGTATCCTATTTATAATACTAATGCAATATATATTTCTAGCACAAGTGCTGGAACTGGATTACATTTACAATTGCACAAGAATTAGATTTGATGCCAGCATTTAATTTAAATTATACAGAACCAAAAATATTCTTTTAATGTTCTTGATATTTTAAGGTATATTGGAAGTCATTTGAATTC